CATAATCTCAGTGGTGTCAGCTTTATGTAGGAGGCGAGTTCGGGTCGTCCACCTGACCCTCCCCAGGGCAGATTCTGGGCTTCAGCCCTGCACCCCGCACCCCACCGGGCCCTGAGAGTGGGAGAGCAGGCTTGCTTGGCTTGGCAAATGCCCTCACAATGAAAACTCTCTCACTCTTTCAGGTTTCTGTTTTCACTTGGTTTTTGACTTTTAAGTATATCTTACCTTCTAATTAGAGCAGCAGTGCCCTTAAATATAAGTTGTGGAGATTTTTATATTTTAATCTGCATTTTCAGCCGGTCTCAGTGTGAGGGTGAACGCGGCGGCGGCGGCGGCGGGCAGAGGGGCTTCTCGTTTTTTAACCTGGCTTGGGGCTCTTTCATCATCAAGAAGTCGCCCGTCCTGACGTAGCCCCACGGGGCTAGCTTTACCTTCATGATGATCGCCTTTGATCTTGTCTAAGGAATCTTTCCTCACTCTCAATCTCCCAGCATCACAAATACAAAAATACATTCTGTTAGGTTCTCCCTCTCTCTCTCTTTTAATGTAAAGAGGGATTTATTTTTATTTTGTATAGAAAACAACGGACTTTGGGTCAGATGTGGCTTTTGACTTGTTTCTGTACGCCCTTGTTAGGTAAGCATGGTTTTTGCATTTTTAAGAGAAAAAAATACACATAATATGTATATATCCTATATATATATGCTATATTCTGTAAGAATCTATATATTTATTTACGAAAAATGTGTGGCAGAGATTGTATGTAGCTTGGAAAGTCTAAGCTATTCATTACCTGGACCTTGGCACAAAAAGCTTGTAGACCCCTGGCCTAATCTGCTTTTTCCACTTGTCTGCTGTATTTAAACTTCCCATTTATACTAGGAGTTTATTTCGGGGCCCTCCATCCTGTTCCGTTTGTCTCTCTGTCTGTTGCCGACTCCTAGTACTGTGCTGAAGTGAGAATGGCTGTTGCCATTAATGAAAGCCCACGAGTTAAAGGAGCGGGCTTGGGAAAGGCGGGTCCATCCGCAGAGGGGAAATGGGAAAGTACAGACGACTCGTGCCTGGACACCTAACCGCGCTGACGCTAACCAGAGGCGCAGCGAGTCAGAGCGTTCCCGGAAGAGGTCTCTGCCGGGCCCAAAGCAGGCGCCGGCCCGCGGAGTTGGAGCTGACTGGTTAATTTGTAACTGCGTGCGTGCTGTACGGGGCGGGACACACCGCGCGCCGTGGTCCAGGAAGCTCCCGGCAGCTGGGGCGGTGAATCGGGGAGCCCCGCGTGATGGGAATGCGGCGAGTGAGGAGGAGATTGGAGGGTCTGAGGCAGAAGGGTGCTCTGCAAACCCCCAAATACACGTTAATCGTGGGGGGGGGGGCGAAGGAGAAGGCGCTGACACTGGAATTCTCTTAATCGACGGTGTTTTCCCTTCTCCGGTGGGTGTTTGTCTGTCTGAGCCGAGTGTCTGCTCACTCAGTCATGACACAGTTCACTTATTCAACGAGGTGACACTCAGTAACGGGAGCTCAGTCTCCCAAGTGAGATGGAGACACACACCTGGGGACGTGGTGGCTGCCACTATGCTGAGACCCTCTGTCGTGTTCACCATGGCAACAGAAGCTTTGACCCTGGTCCCAGGTCCTGCCTGGTGGGATGCTGGGGGGCTGCCGAGCCTCCAGCCCACTACTCTCTGCCTTGTTCCTCCCTGTGGGACCACGAGAAGAAAGTGATAGGAACCCCATGACAGAGCACACAGTCTCTCCCCAGGATGTGCTCATGTGAGGGAGACCACGGGAACCTGCAAGGCTGCCTCCCTGGATCTCCCAACGCTTGGCCGATAAAAGGGGCAGTGGGTGTAAAGGTCAGTGTGGGGTTGCAGTTGGCAGGACGGTCATTTGCTCCAGCATCAAGATACATGACAAAAGCTCACCCTGCCTCCTTTCATGTGCTTCCCACTGGACTCCAGTCAAAACTGATGTCCCCTTTGCTTTTGACCTTGGCCATCTAGTCATCAGTGTCCCAGCCGGGGCTGACATGGGGTAAGAAAGCATGTTTCTGGCTGGTCTTGCATGAGGCCCATAAACAAGGATAACGTGCTACTCTTAAGTGTAATTAATGTTGGCTCTTAAAGGAAGACCCACAATGAGAGACCGAGAGCAGAGGCTGTGTTGAGTACAAGAGTTGGATTTAAAATCTGGCCCTTAAATGGCAGCTTATTAAAAAAAAAAAGTAAGCCACTCTGCAAGCCAGCAAAAAGCAGAAAATTAGACACAAATACAGAAATCTGGATTGATTGGCAAAACGAAGCCTTGAGTAAAAACCAAGAGAGAGAGCGGCTCGGTGGTACAGTGCCACACACAAAAGCGACACTACGCATGTACAAGGATACATGCCCACTTGAGGATGTTTGCAAACACACCCAAGTGCCTGTGGGGGAATTGGGCGGGTGGGAGTGAGGCAGGGAGATGCAAGGGACAAGGCGCGGGTCTTGTGTCCGAGGCTGGGGCGCCTCAAAGCAGAGCCTGAGACGGGGATTCTTGCACAAGTGAGTTATGCAGGGAGGGCTCTCGGGAGGCGTGTGAGGGGGGAGGGGAGCAGACGAGGGTGAGGGAAGAGCTCAGCCAGGAGGTGGGTGTGGGTGTCTGGTCCTGCCTGACCTCACGGGGAGCTCTGGAGGGTGAAGGCATCGCAGAGGTCATCTTGCTCCCAGGCAAAGGGCCTGAGTGGTCATCCCCTGGGACAGTCAGTCAGCAGCCGAGGGCCCTTCCTGGGGGAGATGTGTGCACGCCCCTGGGCCTCTCCAGGCCAGTCGTCTTCCACTAGCCAGAGCAACCCTCTCTAGAAGGGGGTAAGTGAGAGTTATGAGGGGCCAGCACCCCGGCGGCCGGGCAGCCTGGTGAAGGCAGTGGAGACGAGGCACTCAGCATCCACCAGACCGCGAGCAGCCTTGCGGGACTGGTGCTGGCAAGCTTGCAGGTCCGGCTCCACCCCGGCTGCTCCCTCCCCTGGTGACACTGCTCTGGCAGGGGCTGCACATAGAATGTTCTGGACAACCCAGGAGAGAAAGAAATAGACCCTGCCTGGGACTAAACAAAAATGGCCTTGCAGACCATGCCAAGAGCCACGTGGGCTCCCCCCAGGGCCAAAAGAGTCCAAATTCCACCTTAATGAGAGATGAGTCCAGGGGCCGGGGCTCCCCGGCAGGTGTCCGAGCCATTTTCACTGAGTACAGCTGCTCACTCTTGTCCATTTTCAAAAGCGAACCTCCCCGCAGTTCAGGCCGCGCTGTTCTTAACACCTGCAGGCCTGCGGCTGGCACCCACTGACTCAGGACAAAGGAGACGTGCAGCCCACAGAGGACGGATTCTCTCGCGCCCCCACCTTCCTTCCTCCTTCTGTCTCTGCACTTTGAAGCCGCTCAGCCCAGCCCAGCGGGAGCCCGGCGGGCTCAGGGGTTTGTGATGAGCAGAGCAGCAGCCCTGCCACTGCCGAGCCTGGCCCCGGTGGCTCTTGCAGGAGCCTGTGGTCTTGACAAGCAGGGATGGACTGCTCCCAGGAGCCAGGCGGGCACCGCTGGGGAGTGACAGCTCCAGCCCAAGGCCCAGGAGGCAATAGTGCCTGTAAGTGGGGCCTCTCCAGAACACAAGAAAGGTGAAGAAAAGTCACTTTCTCCTTGTTGCTGCCATAAAAATCAGCGCCCCAGAGGATACTGCGCTCTGCAGACCTGATTTAAAATTCCGTGAGCAGCCCGGGTGATGAGGGAACGGTGGCTGGAGGCTGGCAGCAGCTCAGACAAGTGGGAAAGGGAAATGGCCAAGCAGGTTGTCTCCCCTTCCTCTCCAGCCAGGTGGCTCCAAAGAGCATTATAACGGGAGAAGTAGTCTTGTAAACTGAGGCTTGTAAAGGGGAGGGATACCTGTGGCTCAACCAGGCAGCTAAAAGTGGTGCAAAGATCTTCTTAAAGAGCTGACCACGGAGGGCGCCCTCCAGCAAAAGGGCACAGGGACGTGGGTCAGGAGGCTCCCTCCCACTCAGCCACGAGCCAGTCTTAAGGCACTTGCAGGCGCTCCGCCTCAGTTCTTTCACCTGCCAAGTGGGGGCGCTAGACTAGCCTGCTGGTCTGCTTTGGGTTGCACATTTCTGCTGGTAAAAAAAAAGTCTAGCCGTCACCCTAAGAAATGCATAATGGTTCATTGCCAAGTTCTACATGTGTTCTATTCTCCTAACATGTTATGTACATTATAAGGGGCACATAACGATAGATGTTAGAGAGCCTAGATGGAAATAAGTGTAAATTGGAGCTCAGTATTTTCCTTCTCTACCCGTGTTCTGCCCTCCCCCAGGAGGTGCAGACTCTGTTTTGGAGATTAGACCAGATGCTCTGGAAGGGCCCCCCTAGGGGGACTGTCTGTGGTGCCCATGTTTTCCAGAGGAGACCCCTTAGATGTGTGCTGACCAGCAACGGTAGCCACTGGCCACACGTGGCTCTTTCAGCTCATTACAGTGAAATCAGATGTAAAGCTCAGTTCCTCAGACACGTGGACCACATCTCAGTCGCTCAGTGGCTGCCAGTGGTTGGTGGCTATGGTCGCAGAACGCTTCCGTCATTGCAGAAAGTTCTGCTGGACAGCCTGGCTACTAGGTCATCAAGACCATGTAGTTCCGTATTTAATTTCAGCAGCTGACCTGTAGGAAGCGCTTGCTATGTGCTAAGCAGTGTGGGAAGCATTCCATAAGCACCGTCTCATTTTGTCCCCCAGCAGCCCCGTGAGTCGAGTCCTGTTGTTACCGCCATGTCCTGGCAGGAGACTGAGGATCGGGGGGTGAGGGGGTCCCGAAAGCTGCCATGCTGCCGGACATCATGCCCCTGTGTTCTCCTAGGCTCCCCACAAGGACTTTGGGTTTTCTCCTCTGAGCATCGTGTTTCAGAATTCTGTGCTTGTGAGCTCCCAGGCACGTGCTCCTGAGGCTGGTGACCGCATGCGTGCTTCTTGTCCCCCAGGTACACAGGGAGTTTCTTGCAAAGCCGCGCTCAGCTGAGAGCCAGGAAGCCACACTGGGTGCTGAGAAAAGACTGCCGCCCACCCCCAGTCGAGGGGCCAGCCCCACGCAGGACCCGCGGGCAGGCTTCTGCAGGAATGGCAGGTAAGGCTCTCCTCGGAGAGGAATCCACCGAGCTGCTGGGGACGCGACGTGAGCCTGAGGCAGCCGTCCTTGCTGTCTGGAGCCTGAAGTCCCGCAGGGGGACAGATGCGCGTGGGATGATGACACCAGTGTTACGTCTGTGGGATGGTCGTCGAGACCCTAAGCCAGCGGAGAGGGGCTGGGGTGGGAATATGTAGAATCCAGCACTGAGGAGGCAGCAAACCTCCCCATGTACTGGCCGCGTGTGCCGGGCGCCGCCCAGACAGAGCTCACCCCGGGGCCTGGAAAATGTGAGTCAGAACTCTTGAGCCTCCACCTTTCCCTCACCTTTAGAAATGAAGTTCACTCGATTCCATGGGGCCCTTGTGAGGCTAAAGCGGGTCAGTGGATGAGCTTGACAGTGGCCGTGAAATAGAAGTGGGCGGAGGAGTTATGACCTGGGAGAGCAGCGGGGAACATCGCCAGCATGGGAGGCGGTAAGAGGTACCCTCTTCATCGTGCTCAGAAATAAATAAAGGATGAACGAATGGAGACCGCTTCCTGGAAAGGGGCTATTTTCAGTTGCAGTCACTGGGCAACCAGGGCAAATCGCTTAACTTCTCTGGACCACAATTTCCTCTCCTTCCTCCACTCCCCAGGCAGGAGCGAGCCCAGCCTCAGCCCTGCCGGCAGTGTGTGGACTGGAGAGAGTGAAGGCCTTCTGTGAAGAGGCAGCAGGCTCCCATCTGGCCAGTGGTGCCTGAATTATCATCCTTTTGTGGCTGACTGTTGTCTGTGTGGCTCTAGGGCTGACCCTGGGCTCTGATGGCTGGGGTTTTTGTCCCTAGGGACAGTTGGCTGGGGCACCTCCCCCTCCCCCTTCCTGCAGCTCTGGTGCCCCCCCCCCCAGCAGAGGGTGCTTCTGTGCTCGCCCTACCCCAACCTCCAGCCCCCCAGCCCTCTCCGGTGAGCAAGGACAAAGATCAGCCTTCTTCTCAGTGAGAATTTAAATCAGGATAGGTGTTTGCTTAACTGGATGGTGAATTGTAGAAAGCAAAGCATTGTCTTTGTTATGGAATGTCAAGGGTTAAGATCTGGTGGGAGCGGACAAAAGTAGGTGGGGGGACACAGAAATGCAGTCAGGGACCCAGCTTTGCCCTTTCTTCATTTCCTGTGGCTCCTCCCCCTTAACTCCATGACTTTCCTCCTCAAATAGCTCACAACCAATGGAACTGCCCATTGGGGTATATCCCCCGCCAACAGAACCCAACAGAACCAACCAGAACTCTGCCAGTTGCCTCGAAGGGCAGAGCTCTCCCACCAGCACCTTAAAGGGGGCTGAGTCAAGCTGCCCCTGGAAACTGCCATCAGCTTCCATGTTTTTGTTCCGAAGCACCGTGCTGGGAACTGTAAGGGAGAATCGTGGTTCAGGGTGAAGACCGGCAGACAGGCTCACTGTCCACCCTTGGCTCACATTGGGAAGGACCCTGGCGGGTCTGTGAGCTCCCCCCTCAGAATCTTCTGTCTGTACAGCTGGGCTGTGGACGTTGGTCTCACCTACCCAGTGGCTCAGAGCAAGGATCTAGGGAGCTGCCGCGCAGAATCCGGCGGCTGCAGACTCTAAAGCCAGTGATTGGTGCTGATTGTTATTATTAACACCGCCTAGTAAGTGTACATGGATGAAAACTGGCATGCGCTGAGTGACAGATGAGTGCGGGGCCCGTGGTGACAAGGGTTTCTGCTGTTTAGTGGAGGACAAGGTCAGCGTTGGGGGCGGAGCCAGAAGAGGGGATGTTCTTGGGAGAGAAAGGGCTCCTTCTAGGAGTCCGGACGTAGGGAGAATAGAACAGAGGCTTTCTGGACTGGGGAGTGATGTGAAAATGCTCAGGGGCAAGAACGGCGAACCAGAGGGCGGATGGGAGCTGAGTGGGCCGGTGTGCGCGGGACCCAGTGCATGATGTGAGATGCCCTGAAGCCAACATTTCTGTTTGGGTACCACCTACGCTGGTGTCCTGAGGCTGCCAAAGAAATTGCTACAAACTTGGTGGCTTAAGAGAACAAAGATGTGTTTTCTCCCTGTTCCAAGGCCAGGGGTCGGACAGTCCCTCCGCGGGCTCTAGGGGAGGAGACTTCTGCGCCTCCCAGCTGCCGGGGGCTCCAGGCGGCCCTCGGCTGGTGTCCGCATCCTTCCAGTCTTTGCCTCTGTCTTCACACGGCTTCTCCCTGTGTGTCTGGGGCTCAGATCTCCCTCTGTCTTTCTCTTACAAGGATACTTGCCGCTGCCATTAGGCAGGCCCTAAATCCAGAATGATCTTATTTCGAGATTCTTAATTGAATTCCATCGGCAAAGATCTTCTCCCAAGAAAGCTCACAGTCAGTGGTTCTGCAGGTTAGGGCTTGGACATCTTTTCTGGGGTGGGGATGGGCCATGATTCAGCCCCTACGCCACCTGGACATCTTCTGTCCTGTCTGCGAACCAAGAGGAGGGACCTTGAAATGTGCTTCTAAGTGATACAGGCAGTGGCCCGCACGGACGTTTAGTGGACAGTAGAGGGCATCACCTGTGCTCTTGTTGTGGGTAAACAGTTTCGGTGGGAAAGTTTCATTATAAACATAAACCAATATGGATTCATTAAAATGGAATCACCCTGGCCACGTCCAGCAGGGCGTGGCCACCTTTGCTGGGGAGCGTCATCCGAGTGGCTCCAGGTAGCTTCCATCGTGCGTGCTGGGACACGGGCGCCTTTAGCTTCTCTTTGGGAAGAAGGCCTGGTGGCCAGCCGGAGGGGGGTGGGCAGGGCTCCGCGTGCGGCTGTGCGGATTGCGCCAGTGGGGACTGAGGTCCAGCCAGCACCAGGTTCGCCTGGCCTTACGCTCAGCTACGGGGCGGTCAGCCCAAGGCAAGGCGGTCCTCTCTCCTCCCACGGGGTGGGGGGCGCCCTCCATGCAGCCTTGGATGGAAGTGGGTGCCTCTTCCTCATGTGCACATGTGCCTGGTGTGCTCACAGCGACCTGGGGGGGCCCAGTGTAAGCAGACAGACCAGCTGGAAAGCCTCTGGTCTTTCATGGTCCTCTTCACCCCATGTTCCCTTCACAAACTCCTCTCGGCCTCAGGCAGTGGTCCTGCGCCCACTGTGTTGGGAGAAGCCCACTCCTGATCTCAACACCAGCCTCTCAGACCAAAATCCTAAGAGCAAACTGGCCACACCAATGAGTGGGGGATGAAACTAGACCCAAAGAGAAAAAAAAAAAATCAGAAAACAGTATGTGAATGTGGAGATTAAAAAAGCCAAAAAGACCAAGAGGCCAAATGTCGTTCAGATCCCCCTGGGAACGTAGCTGCCCCATGTAGGTAACGCTGTTGCAGTGACAGCCCAGAGTGGTGACAGATGCCTGCAATTTCATGTTTAGTATTTGGACAGCCAGTTGAGCTAGAGGTCTGGGTCACAGGTGCCCATTTTCCAAGGTTCCCCTCCCCCACAATCAGGACACACACAGAGGCTGTCCCCTCAGGGCAGGGGCGGGCCTGCAGGGGCGGGCCTGCAGGCTGAGGTCTAAGCCCTGGCCCAGGATGTTCGCCACCCCCTGTTCCTTACTGAAGTGTCGGAGCGGGGACAGGGATGGCGGGCCGGGCAGACCAGCAAGCCCAGGGTGGACAGGACATGACGGACACCATGGGGTTGGGGGGGCATTAAAATAAATACTGCCTGGAGCTCAAAGGGGCTGGGGGCGTTAACTGCCACCACTTCCCAAGGCCAGGATTTCACGGCCAAGGGACAGGTTCCGAGAGCGCTGGGTGTGTGAGGACAAAGCGCTGCTGCTCCAAAGGGCCTGAAGGCCTTGCTGTCCACCATTTTCAAACAAATTTCTTGTCTCCTTTGACCTGTCAGGTCCTGGCTGGAGAGATCAGAGCTGCCTTCTCAGTGAGGGAGTTGACCTCGCTGTGTGTGTGTGTGTGTGTGTGTGTGTGTGTGTGTGTGTGTGTGTGTGTTTGCGCACGCGCGCGAGCGCGCGCAAACCTGTATATTTTGGGGGGAGGTGGGGAAGACCCGTTTTTGACGGCTGGGCAATGATAGGGTGATCTGTTTTGGGTGACTGGAGGGGCTGTGACTTGGGAGAACTTGACAAAATCCAGCAAAGAGATTGAGAATAACCTTTAGGGGGAACCCTTTGGCCTTGATTCTTGAAAGCCAATTAGAATCAGCAAAACATTTAAAAATAAGTAGTCAGGAGCACTTGGGTCCAGGGGCTGAAATAAGATGTTTTTATTTATTTATTTATTTATTTATTTATTTATTTATTTAAACTACGATCTTATAACAGATTCTTTCTCCTCTTTATTTTGGAAGAATCTTCCTGTCCATGACTTATGAAGGTGAGAGAGAGAGGATGTTTTTGAAAAATATTTTTTTAAAGGATGCTTAATTCCCCTCTCTTTTAAACTATTCCAGTAGCTTGGTGCTAATCATTCCAATTAACAGAAGGCTTGACAGTGAAGTCGCCTGCAAGCAGAAGGCCAGAGGAGTCACGAAGGATAAAGACCTAATGCATGAGATTTTATGGTGATTGGCCTTTTTGAGACTCTCCAGCGAACTGAACGTATTTAAAGCCCAAATTCAGTGGTCTGCCCCATCCAAGTTTCCAGCAAAGGAGTGGGGGAAGCTGGAAGTTTCTTTTGAGATATCCAGTAGGTTGACTTGCCCGATATCCCAGGCTAAACGTGCCTGTGGATGGGCAAGGACATCCTGTTTCAAAGAACATCCCACCACGTTGCCTTTAGGATCAAGGCTGAGGTGTGGTGGTAGAAACTTGAGCTGCCTCCTTGAAGGGATTGGTAAAAAGCTGGTTCCTCGACATCGAGTGGTTGATTAGCCCAAGGAGAGCAAACATCTGTGGGAGGGTAGTCCTTCTAAACGTACTTTATGGGAGGCCCCCACCTTCCACCCCTGCCCTTCAGATTAACTTCCCCCGTGTAAGGAAACTGATGGCCAAGTGAAACCACAGATCATGCTCGAGACGCGGAATCCCACGAGGTTGAGGGAAGTGACCCCTGGGTTGAGTCATACCCAGTGGCAGGATCAGATGAGGAAAGAGGTGAGCTGGAGAAGACTGATGAGGAGAATTCCAAGAGAGTGATGTGAATATCAGAGACTTAAGAGAAGCCCTTAGAAAAATGGAGAAAGTTCTAGAACACTTTTTTGGGTGGGAAAAACCCCTCTTGGTGCTCTTACTGGGAAAGTAGGTATAAAAGGTATAAAAGTAGGTATAGCCTGTTGTCCTCCCGGTAACCTGGTGTAGGACGGACTCTGCGCCCCACACCTGGTTCACCTTGGTTGATGTCAGCAATTAGC